CGTCGATGGAGGAGATGCTCTTCATGTTCGACATGCTGTTCGGACCCCCACAAGCGACACGACGTAGCAGTGGCCATGGCAAACGGAAGAAGGGCAATGGTGGAGTGCGTGTCAATGTTCGACGTAAAGGTGGCAAGCGCCGAACACCTCATGAGTCTCCTGGCTTCCCTTCCTACGTCGACCATGAGTTCATGGATATGTTCGCACATGGCATGGTGTTTGGTAATCCAGACTCAGAGCTGTACGTTCATGTACTGTGGATTGCTGTTTATCTTTTAGCTGACCGTTAATGTCTTGCTGCTGTGATAGGTCTAACCTGGAGGATGAATTCATGTCGATGGCGAGCTTTGTTGCCAGGTCAGGTATGAACTTTGACTCAATATTCTCTATGAAAGAGAAGACGACGGGAAAGTGCACCCCGCTCAGGCAGGATGAGCCTAAATCTCAGTGTGCCGGGCCTGAGAAAGCCAACATGCCTGCACCAACAGTTGGGAGCAAAGTGTACATACATGGGAAGCACACAGGGGTAAGTATCTATGCACACAACATGACATGTTTGATACGGACAATGCAGACTAATACTGTTTGCCAACAGATTGTCAAGTTCACAGGCCACGTTCACTATGCGAAAGGTGAATTCGTAGGCGTCGCTTTGAGCTCACCAGTGGGTAAAAATGACGGCGCTATCAAAGGCGTGAGGTACTTCGAGTGCCCTCCCAGTCACGGGCTCAGGTAAGATTACAACTAAAACATGATGTGGAGCGATTTTATTGGCATTGATTTTCATTGTCTATCGTTTTCTGGTCATCGTCGCCTAGTGGACTCACAGTTTACCGACAGTATCATCGCCTGCTAACTGTACAAAGGGCTGCGAATCGCAAGTTGAAGTGACCATCATTCTCACTGTGCTTTTTCCATATTGCTGACTGATGGGTCCTGCTTTCTAACCAATTGATTTGTAGAATTGCGTCAACAATAGACCACAATTGACGCTATCGTTACTATGTCCAACGCGACCTCCTTCCTCTCCGCCGGAGGTAGCTTCCTCATCAGCAACACTGGACCCTGCCACGCCTTCCTGAGTCCTTCTACGCTACACCGAAAGCTCACGAGCCGCCGTAAACTCATTCGCGGCCCGTTATGGCTATGCTGTGATACAAAAGTCCAAAATCTATGAAAAGACGACGCGGCGCATTGTGATCGCATGTGGCCGCCACGGAGCTAAACGCGCGTACATTTCCACTTGTGGGCCGCAATTCCCAGTCACGACATTGCGGTTGCCCCATTGAAGTGCATTTAGTCAAAGTATGCGATGGAGCTTAGCGACCAGCATCGAGGAACTACCACTACTCACAACCCTCCGTCTTTTGGACCTGCGGAACAACACTAAAAATTCCATGGCAAGAGTATATGATAATAAGCCTGCTAACAGTGCATAGTGTAAGCCTTGGGGCGTCGAATTTCCTGATAACAGTGCAGAGGGGTGATAGGCCTTCTATATCGTCATCCACTGTAGTTGCGTGTTTGTCGAATGGGTCGCGCGTACCGTACCTGACGGTCGGGGTGTCTGGTCACTACCGTGTCCGCCAGAATCGTCCTTTGCCTCACCTGAAGCCGCGCGAGCTCCAGTGAATGCGTTCACCGCTCGCTACGACTATAAGCCAACATCTAGACGTTGTGGCTTTCCGATGAAAGTGAACTTAGTGAGGATATACCGAGTGAAGGCGCTCCCAAGCGATGGGAAGTGCAGCATCGAAGAAATGCCACGGAGGAAAACCATCCTCTTTCTTCAAGGTTATCAGAACACCCAATTCTTCGTCGTCCGTGTCTTACGAATGGTGTGCGACGGGTTATTGCTTCTGACTTCCACTCAGGCGTCGCTATGTCGAAGACTTTGGCACGCAGTCATCACAGAGCAGAATACAGCTCGATTTATCTGGATCTGGAGTCACACCAGTACCGTCAAATTGCTACTGATACAAATCAGAGTGGGTACGGTACGATTTCAAAGTAGATACCCGATTCCATGCATTTCCTGCAACCAGAGTAATTACCCTTAGCATCAAATCTCACAAATAGCCAATCGTACCGCTCTGAACTATATTTTGTGCAACCATGTCCATATTATGTAATGTTTACATATATGGCACTAACGTTTTGTTGTGTGTTGTGCATTGAACAGGTCGCTTAATGGCACCAACATTGTCGTTAACAGCGTGCTGCTGTTAACACCTTTGCAGTACGCAGTCTACCACAAGAGTGGTGTACAAGACAAGAAAAAGAGGCCTCGTCGGATTGTGCTCGCATGCGACCGTCAACGTATTAAACGGGTGAATGCGTCCACTTGTGATCAGCCGTCACGGAAGCGGAATTGTCTGATGGAAGCGCATCCGGAACGGTACGATCAATTGAGGGGGATCGGGAACAATGGCAGCGCAACTGTATCAGATATGATAGGTGTAGAGTTGTAGCCAATCAGAGGCAGGCTCAGTTTAACTTAGATTCAGTATGCAATACAGAAAGGCAGATGTAGGGCGGCCGTGGAACCTTCTAGAATGTTCTATCCGCCTGAACTGTGGGGGCGGCACTTCTCGTTTCGCGCGCCCTCCCCCAAGCTAGCGTATCCTAAAAAAAAAAACTGGTAGCACTTGTTGATCCCAGCAAGCTGGCCAGGAGCCCATGCCAAGAATCGCCCAGCTACGCGCCGAGATCGATCGGCTGAACCAAGCGATGGCTGACCGCACGAACGTGCCGAACCATTTGCCCAAGTTCACGGGTAAGAGGGGGAAAACGTCCACGAATGGCTGTTCCAGATCGAGAATGCCTGCCGCATCAACAACATTCCAATTGAAGACACGAGCGCGAGTCTTCCTGGAATCGCCGGATCAGCAATGGAAAATCCGGCGTCCGGATGGTTCCTGCACTGGTCTTCGACAACTCGAGTGGAGGAGCACACGTGGGGGATTTTCCGTGAGCATGTGCTCCAACACTTCGAAGCGTCGAATTACCAGTCTGTCCTGCGTGAGAAGCTTCAACGCCTCAAGCAGACAACGGACATCGAGACCTACAACGGCGAGTATTCAGCCTTGATCTTCCGAGTCGAAGGAATGAGCGTGCTTGACCAAGTACTATACTACGCGAACGGTCTCAAGCCGCGCACGCGTAACTACGTCAAGCTCGAGAACCCAGAGACCCTGAGCGACGCAATGAACCTTGCTGTCAAGTACGAGGTGACACACTTCGTCGACGAGCCGCGCGAACGCCACACTCGCCAAGACAAGCGGAAACCTTCCACTGATCAAGCACTGAGTCATGACAAGTCGTTCAAAGGAAAAGCGTTCCGTGGTAAAGGGCGTTTCAAGCCGAAGACTAACACGAAATGAGCCGAAGGTCGTTCCTGTTTCCACTGCAAGAAACTTTGCCATATCAAGGCCAACTGCTTCCTTTGGAAGAGGGAGCAAGAGAAGCAGAGAAACGGGCAACAACGTCAGTGAATGAGGGTCCTGTCGTGGAGAAGAACATAGCCGGATAAGTTAAGTTTGAGAATATCAGCCTTAACGTTCTGTGCGAAAACCCTCTCGTCTACAAATAGCGTCCACTGTTCTCCGTCGAGGGGGAAATCATCGTTAGTGGCGCGACCTTTTCGACCCAAAGAATGCTGTTGGACTGTGGAGCAACCACAATCTACGTGTCCAGACAGTGGGTCGAGAAACATCGACTCAAGGCCACGAAGTTCAATGATAAGAACATTCGTGTGAAACTCGGAGGCCACCAGATTGTCGAAACGGAACTGGAGGTACTTCCCCTTGAAATCATGGTGTCTGGGTTGGGCGAGGCGTACAAATATACCGCATACCCGACGAATTCGACTGTATCCTTGGAATCCCATTCTTCGAGGATACGCTGCCGCAGATCGACTGGAGAGGTCGATCTATCGAAGGAACGCAAGTGAAGACTCTGCATTGGAAACGAAC